TAAATATAAATATATATATATATATAACTATATATTTAGTTATATATATATATATAGTTGAAATAAATTCAAGAACAGGAGAAAGAAGCATATTTTATATTTGTCATTTAAGCATCACTTCTTTGTTGTTGTTAAGCTGGGTTTTCTATTTGAAACACAAGCTGTCTTTACAAAATGAATGACTCTCCCATGTGAACATATAAACCCATAGGTATCTGCAGTCCAGTTGATCACTGGAGACTCTAGGAGCTACATGCATATGCCCTGAGAAGGCCTGTCTGCCTCTCCCTGGAACAGCCCACTGACAGGGCATAAAAGAATGACTAGTCAAAGAACAGCATAATTAGTTGCTAGGAAAACAGCAGTGGGAGTATTAAGTGCGGAGGAGAAGGAAAAAGTGACAGAAGAGCATTATCTTATTTTGTTGAAAACCGTAACAAGATATTAATGCTTTAATCAGTCCCTTTCAAGACATTTCTAAAGGAAGGGAAGGGAACAGACTTTCACCCTCCAAGGACAGCAATGTTATCATCCCTCACTGCCCAGAGGTCTGACCCCAGGGCCTTTCTAATAGAAACCATAGTGGAAGGGACAGTGTAGCTCTAGGCCTAGTCCAAGGGTAGATAGAGCACTGGTTCTTCACCTGGCTGTTCCTGTACCCTGCTGACATGTCACTGGTAGCCAGGGTACCAGGAGAGAATGCATAAATGTCTTCCAACTGCGCTGGGAGAAAACAAACATGGGTTACCCACTCAGTGGTATGCTGGAGTCAGTCTGTACCGACTTGTCAGAGCAACCGACCATCACCCCATCTCTCCCTTCAGTGATGGCATGTTGATAATGTGAAATCAGACACAGCAGGAGTATTTACACCATGGGAATCAGCAACTACCACAAGGAAATGGATAACCAATTTACCATCATACCACTGCTTATTCTAGTGCATAAGGAAGGGATTTGTGCAAGCATATGAAATAGCCATTAAAAGCCTGGACTCTGAAGTCAGGCCTAAATGTGCCAGGTGAGCTCGAAAAACTACTAACCTTCCTAGATTCAGTTTTCCCTTTAAAATAAGAATAATAATACCATTATCTCAGGGTAGCTATAAGGATTGGATTAAATATACAAATATATAAGTAACTCTGTGTGTCTGTGTGTGTGTGTGTGTGTGTGTGTGTGTGTAATAGTGCTATTTGTAGGACCTGGAACACTCGAGTAAAATACTCAGTAAATGTTAGTTATTTCTACCAACATATCACGGAAGACATATCTAGTCTACTACATTGCTGAAGATAAACCATCTCCTATCCTGATCTCTCTGTCCAGGGCCAAGCCTTATGATCCATCTTTCCAGCAGTAACCAGTTGCAGTTTCAATGTTAGTAATGCTGCCCCATTCTGTCCACACTCACAACAACCTATCAACCTATTTCCCGCCTTTCTCCACAGTACAAACGTGAAAGCCTAGAAATAAGGAGAAAGAGCTCTGAGCAGGTAAGATGGTATCACAAGAGGAACCGGTTTAATTTTTGAGTCAATAATACTTAGACTACTGTCTATAACTTTCACTGGATATAATCAGGGTCAATGATTCACAAAGCTTGGTTATCTTCTTCAGGTTATAACAGTCTGCTTAGAAGCAGTGAAGTAGACAACATGAAGTAGAGACCAAGGTGCAGCAAACAAAAAGACAAGGAGGAGTACAGGGTACTTAGAAGGTACTGTATGAAGTCAGCTGCCTTTCTGGGTCATTTTTTGAATCACAGTGCAGTATAATACTTAATATTAAAAATGATGTGGGGCCAGCAGGTGGCGAGGTAGTTAAGGTGCTGGACTATCACACGGCCAACCATGTTTCAAGTCCTGGACCCAGTGGCTTGAAAATCACACCAGACATGTGTGCCCAACATCCCAAGAGGAGTATGGAAGAGAAGGGATTGTGGCATGGCCATCCCCCTGGGAGGTTGGGGGGGGAGTGAGTGCTCACATTTCTTCTCTCTTTTTCTCCAATGAGTGTATGTACCCTATGCCAAAAACCTAAATAAATAAATAAATAAATAAATAAATAAAAATGATGTTTTGGGCCAGCAGGTGGCATAGAGGTTAAGGCACTGGACTCCCACATGGCCGACCACAGTTCGAGTCCTGGACCTGATGGTTTGCTTTCTCTCTTTCTCTCTGGTCAAATTAAAAAAATAATAATAGGGGCTACCAGATGGTGGTTACATTGCTGAACTTCTGCATGGCTGACTGTGGTTCAAGTCCTGGACCTGGTGGCTTGAAAATCTCAGCTAGCATGTGTGCATTCGTGCCCAAGATCCTGGGTGGAAAATAGAAGAGAAAGAACTGTGGCACGACCATCTTTCCCAGGGGGTGGTTTCTCACTTTCCCTCTCACTGTCTGTCTCTCTCTGGTGAGCACACATGCCCTAAGGTAACACCTCTAAAATAATAATAATAATAATTAATAAAATGGAATAATTCTTTAAAAAATTTGATGTACTTGAGGATACCAGAAAAGGTTAAAAGGGTTCATTAGAACTTGTTAACCAAGACAAGGTTTGTGTGTTAGACAATTTCAACATACTTTCTCCCTCCACAATAGCTGAAATGAAAAAGTTCTAGCTATCTATTACTTGGTTTCCCCAGGAATTTAGTCATCCAAGAGAGTTTTCTTCAAACTATTCGACCATGGGACTGTATTCTGACATGTACACAATCCTTGGGCCATTGAGGAGGTAAGTAGGACAGGCCTGGCAAAGGCCGGCTGTCAAATTTGAAGAACTGAAGTACACTGAGATGGTCACTGCTGTTCACTTTTTGAAAGACACAACCATGGCTGTTTATGTCCCACCATCTGATGATATTCATATGTCCATGAGAACTCAGAAGCAAGCCTAGTCGTTTTTTGAGAAAAACAGAATATATTTTTCTTGACTTTAAAAGGCCTAAGAAGTAATTGCCAAAGCTTAAGAGGAATTCTTACAAAATAATGGCTTAAAAAATAATAGATTTTGGATGGGACCAGCAGGTAACAAGGTGGTTAGGGCACTGGACACTCCCACAGGGCTGACCACGGTTCGAGTCCTGAAACTGGTGGCTTACTTTCTCATTTTCCCTCTCTCTCTCTGTGTCTCTCTCTGATAAATTAAGATAAAATGAATGAATAAATGAAATTAAAATAATTCTTTTAAAAAATAATAATAGAGTTTTGAAAACGAGCAAAAGTAGTATGTGCATGCCCAAAGGAACAAAGAAACAGCTGATTGAATCTGTCCCATCAAGAAACTTCCCCAGAGACAGAGAAATTAAATTTTCAATAGTGCTGCTGGCTTGGCAGGAGGAACAGGGAGCCCCTGGGCTTTTCCTCTGAGAAAAGGCTAGGGGCTAAACTACCAAAGCCTAAGAGCAGGACAAGCTCATCTGAAGCTAATTCCCAGCACAGGCAGTTACAGGTAAGAAAAAGCCTGGTAAGTCACATACAGCTGACCAGGCTGAGCTGACAGAGTATGATCAAAATCATACTCTGAGCTTTGGGTAGCAAATGAGACAAAGGGAGAACAAGAGTGTCAGGGAACATAAGACCAAATCCGACAGTGGAGATGCTGAGCATCTTCTAACGTTGTGTCAAATGTTTCTCAGTTCTCGGTGCAAGACACTTATGAGTGATATTCCCCAATTGTCCCATCTATGGTGGATTTACAAATCCAAAGATGTAAACCTGGGAGTGATCCCAGTGAGTCATTCTTTCCGGCTGTGGCTCCCAGGCTTGCCATGGATGGACTTTCAGCATTGCACATGCTCTACTACTCTTCGCACTCCTCCCCCTCTCCACTGGCTAGGAGATGTTTCACCTGTCACACAAACCCTTGAGCCTCAGGTGCACAGCTGCCAACTCAGACCTACCTCCGTGGGGTGCAGTCATCATGGGGGGGAATGATGACGACCTTCACGGTGACGGATGTTCTCAGGAGATCGATCATCTGCTCGTGACTCAGGGTGGCCACTGCCACCTTGCAGATCTCCACCAGGCGGCTGCCCTGCCTCAGCCCTGCCTGCCAGGCATAGCCATAGGGCTCCACGTCTGCCACAATGCCCTCGTAGTTGACATGAAAGCCGAGCTGCCCCAGCCCATTTCTTCGCAAAGTCATCTCCACTGATTCACAGCCTTTTGAAACAAACTAGACAAAGAAATAAAAGATTCTATGGTTTAATGCAATTAAATGGTGGACACAGAACTAGAAAAACACTGCAAGCAGGGTTCTATCAGAACACCCTACTGCCAGTTGAAGAGCCATCTAGTGACTTCCCCTTCATTAGTTGCTACCCATCAGGCCAAAGGGAACATACTTGATGCATGCAGAATTCACTGGCTTCCCTGAAGTTATAAGGCAACTTCTAATGGAGACTACGGGGAGCTGGCAGTGAAGAGAAACCCTACTCTACTATTTGTTTCACTATTAAAAGAATCAAGGCAGGAGATAAACAACTCTTTTCAACAACTACACCCTATCAGCTGGGCTGCAACAGCAGCCACCAAGGCAGGGAAGCATGTCAAGTGCAGATGGGCTTGCAACACAGTAAATAAGTATCTTCCCCACTTGTTCTGCTATTTTGCTAAAAAAAAAAAAAAACTACGGTAAATACAAGTAAGAGATAAACTCTGTGTTGCTTCACATCATCAAGGAAGTTTTCAAAGGAGCCAGTGGGATAGCAAAAGCTTCAGTAACTTAGGACAGTCTCTTTGAAAGAGAAACTGCATACAAGTACATGGAACAAAAGGACTCACCTGCAACCTTTTGACAATCTCTTTGATATCCTCATTGCTAATAAAACTCTCCACTGAAACACATTCTCCTCGTTCATAGAAAATCTTGAGACTGGTGTCAGTTGAAGTCCACCCTATCACATCTCTGCAGGAACAATTGAAAACCACGCTCTTTGTTTCCTGCTCGATGAGGACGATGAACTCATTGGAGATCCCTAAGAGGCAGTCTATTTCCATAGCCTTGTTGTAGTCTTTGGCCCGGACTGCCCACACGATGGCCCCCATGCTACTGAGCTCAGCTCCTGGATAGGGCTTAGACTTTTCCTTCTTCTTAGAGGCCAGAGAGATGAACGGAAACTTGCCAGAAGGGTCGATAGGTGTGTTGGTGACATTCTTTTCTGCTAGATCTTTCAGGTATTCCTGGCGGGTCCGAGTTGCCATAGCCCGGAACTTTTCTGATTTATGAGCAGCATTTTCTGCATTAATCACTTTGGCCAAAAGGAAGTCCCTGAACACATTTGACTTAGGGAAAGTGACCCCTTTAGGAATGGGAGGCCCAAAGGAAGGCACATCTCTGGACCTGGTGACAGCCACACTGAGAGACAAAGCAAAGGATGAAGAAAAAGAGGTGTGTCAATATCTCTTAGTCTCACACATCAGAATAAAATACATTTCTTAAAGACAAAGACATACTTTGGAAGTAATATAAATGCTCATTTTTCCCACTGGAAAGAACATACATTTCTGCTTAATATGAACATGCTTTCTCATATTATGTTGACATTTAGGATTTACAGAAGATAAAATGCTTTTGTAATTCAAAACAAAAAAAGAAAAAAAGCAGTATTTCAAAAAGGTAAAGGTAAAAGCTTATTTTTTCATTTTTAAAAAATGTATTATATTGAGAGAGCAAGATAAGCACCTCTGACAAGGTCTTACCACACCACAATTCCTCCTCAAGTCTCCCAGCTTGCCAGGATCCTGTGTGTGCTCTCAGTGTTTCAGGTCCACTTGGGATCCAAACCCATGGTTGGCCATGGGGCTTCCAGCACCACAAATCAGTATGCTACTACTGCCTGAGCTACCATAGCTGGGCCTTCAAGTAAAATTTTTCTTCTAACATAAAAAACTAAGTATAACTCCAAGGGGATGGGGAGGAGGATCTACCGCAATATTCTGTATAAAGGCATTTTAAATATCTACTGATTGTTTTCAAGGAGAGTTACTATAATCACAAAACTTTGTAGAATTAGCACAGATTCTGTAAGAACCGAAATGTACTCTCCATTTTAGAAAGTACATAAAGCAGACAGTTTGTAATGGAAATATTGGAAGACGCAGTGTATAAAAGAAATGGATTAAGTCTGAAATAAAACTGAACATTATTTGTTGGCCTATGGGTAAGGCATTATGTAACCAGATTATAAACATAATTTTAAAAGGAAAATTGAGTCACAGAAATTATGGTCTTTCCTAATAGTAACAGTGCTTTAAAATGATATTTTTAAACTGAGCTATTCTTTGGTCTAAATTCTTTACTTTTGGTATTTGATTCTGACAATCTATTTATGAGAAAAAATTTTTTCTTTTCTCATTCCTTTAAGCAAGAAAGCTATAAGAAAGCCCATTCCAGTCCTTTCTCTTGAAGACACAATGCTAAACATGGGTCCAAGGGCCATATGAACATCAGTGATAACCTATTATTTTTAGTCTCAAAGAAAAAGATTTAAGTTTCTCCTAGAACAACAGAAATTAAATGAAACCAAGAAACTGTTTTATGTCACATTCCAAGATTTCATGTGAAGACCTCAGCAGAGTTTGAGACAGCTGGAAATGATAATTCTAACACATCAAAAGTCCTTCTTTTCAAATTATTTAAAATACAGATAATTATGCAATTATACTAAATATTAGGAAAAATATAAAATCAGTTTCTTATAAACATCCAGAATAAAAGGAAATGCTAAGAAAATGCATCTTTCAAATGGAAACAAAGAGCTCCACTTTTACTTTTTATTTTTAAAAGGGCTTCCTTTAAGATAGCCAGCTTTGGAGTCCACAGGTGGTGTGGTGGTTAAAGCACTGCACTCTCACATGGCTGACCACGATTCGAGTCCTGGACCTGGAGGCTTTCTTTCTTACTTTCCATCTTTCTCTCTCTGGTCAAATTTTAAAAAATAAGTAAAAATAAATAAATTTAAAAAAAAGATTACTTTTCAAAAAAGAATTATTTCTTGGCCGGCAGGTGGCATTGTGGTTAAGGCACTGGACTTCCACAGTGGCTTGAAAATCACACTGGGCACATGTGGATGAGTGCCCAAAATCCTGAGAGGAGAACGGATAAGAAGGGATTACAGCAGGGCCATCCTCCACAGGGGATTATTTCTCACTTTCCTTCTCTCTGTCTCTCTGGCAAGTGCACCTGCACTATGGCAAAAACAAACAAAAAAAACTTTAAAAAATTCTTATAAAAATGGGATAAATAATAAAAATCAGCAACATGAAGATACAAACTATATTTTTAGAAAAATGGAAAATAACACTATCAGAAGATGCTCTGGTATGGCTTATTTTTTGCTTTTCAGAAGTTTATTTTTTTCAAAAAGGACTACCTCGTAGTCCATTTTGTGACAAAGAAAGGTGGCAAGTTACATCCATTATCTAACTGGAGAAGAGAAGACACAGAAACCTCCATATGCATTATGGCCTAATTATATCAGTATTAGGAAGGCAATTTTTCTTGTCTATTGTGAGCTGTCTGGCATGAATGCTGACAGCTGTATAATTTGAATTTGATCTTTTTTTTTTTTTCTTTTAAAGTCAGGCAGAGATGCCGAAATCCAGATTTGCGAGATTTTCTAAGAAGAATCCTGTAAGGATCCAGAAATATTTAATACCTTTCATTTTTAAATTGGTAATTTCTTCTCTTGTTAATTTCACTAAAATTGTTTTTTTTGTCATCAAACAGCTATGATTTCATTTCAAATAAGCAAAGGAAAAGGCTTAGCAGGGGGTACAATTATGAGCACCATCTATCCACTTGCCCCTTAAAAAAAAAAAATCACCGGCTTTCTATAAATCTATTTATTAACTGATAGAACTTTAGACAAACATATACTGAAAACCCACCAATAATTAGAAGCCTCTAGAATGAACAGTGAAAGCAAGAACTGAATCCATAACATATAATTATCAATGATTCACCATGGTAGGGAGGTAAGCGATACAGACGCTAAGATCAGCTTCACATCATTAGAAATAGAATCCTTACAGAAGAAGAAAGATGAGGAAGATGATACCCTAGAATGCTCTTTTCAAATAAAGGGTCTTGTTTTAGATAAATCTAACTTTTCAAGGTTCCTACAAGGTTAGAAGCTCATTAATTTAGATGCCACGAATTCTGAACTCTAGATAATAAGGCCTGGTTTAAACTAAATAGACTATTTTGCATCCATAAGAAAAAAATGCCTTTCTAGAATTTCAGCTTGTTTTATAGAGAGTTCTTAAGATATGTCGTTAAATGGGAACAAAAAAAAAAAAAAAAAAAAAAGATATGTTAGTTATAAATGGTACCTTATTATTATTATTATTTTGGCGGGGGGAGGGATTCTGCTTTTCTTATTATTATTATTATTTTGGCGGGGGGAGGTATTCTGCTATAGGGCATGTGCACTTGCTAGAAAGAGAGATAGAAAATGAGAAATCACCCCTCAGGGGGGATGGCCATGCTGCAATCCCTTCTCCTCCATTCTCCTCTCGGGATCTTGGGCACGCACGCACACGCGCCCGGCGTGAGTTTTAAGCCGCCGGGTCCGGGACACGAACCGCGGTCGACTACGTGGGAGTCCAGCGACATTAGAGTTCTTAAGATATGAGCCATTACGCCATCTGCTGGTCCCAGTACTTGAAATTTTTAAAAGCAGATTTCAAAGAGCCTCTGATTAACGATTCTTAGCCTAGTTTGCAATACTGTATCTTCTTAGAAATATCCATTCTTTACAGTTATTGCCAGGCCTCATCTACTCAGCATGTCTGAGAACTAGGATGCTCTATCCAAGGAGGTTAATAAGATGACAGACAACAGAAACTCAGAGGTAAAACAGTTCAGGAAAGTTATCAGAAGACAACTTGGAGAATTCAGTGTTCTCTAAACTCCTCCAATAAAACATTGTGTTTCATCTTAAACTTCACCTTGATTTTGTAATTTACGGAAGGATATTTTGTTTAACATAAAAACATGTTCTCTCTCCAAAATCTGTGAGTACAACTGAGGAACTAGAAAAGTGTCCTGTGGTCTGATGTATTTCTGAACCTCTCATTTGAACAGCTGGTACGAATTCTTCAGTTTTCCAGGAAATAGACACAAAGAAGAACAAAGCGATTTGCTCAGAATTGTCGTAGAGAGTCAACATTGGAATTTAAGCTTCTGGGCAGCAAAGAGAACACTCTATGGCAAGACTACACTTATTCCCTCTGAAGAAAAGTTTTAAAACCTCCCACTCCTGGGGTGCTTGCTAAGAGGAACCATCAGCCTGAGTCAAATGGCCAAAGAGACCACCACAGGACTGCCCCATCTGACTTGGGCCATGTTAACAGATGATGTCAGCATCAAATGGATGAATAATAGGTCTTGAAACTCAAGCCAAACTCATACATAGGATGCTCCAGAGATACCTGAAGAGAAGCCTCCGTGGACAAAAAGAGATGGAGACACTTGAATTTTGAAAGCACATGGCAACAGCCATCAGTAACAATTCCAACCCAAACTTTAAGGCAAAGTGACACAGAAAACACCAAAATGAGAAGGAAGCTCTCCTTTTATATAGCCTGGATCAGATTGCTGGCTTGAGCTTTCCAAGGAAGCAGACCAAGGCAAAGAATAGGAAAATTCAGTAGCAGAAGAAAAATGTGCCTGTCATTCCTTCCCAGGGCTATCTTTCAATTCCTAATCCACTACTGTCCTATGTTGAGATGAACAATGAGTATGTCAAAGGCTCAAAAGTCCAGATACAAGACCTGCTAAAAGCCACAGCTAGTGGATTGAGTCCTCTGCTGGGCAAGTGCAGAGAGCTACTGGCAACTCTTTTAACTATGGCATTTTATATTTAGTTCTGGGAGGTCAAGGACACCCCCTTCAGAAAAGAAAAGCAGGAATTCATCAGATGGAGGAGTGGGGTGAGAGAAGAGGCATCCCTGTCCTGAGAGCAGAGGCAGAGCACTATGTTCTAGGGGGTGGAAATAACTTCCCAAGAGTGAGGTAGGGGCGGGGTGAGGCACTGGTAAAGCTGCCAATACAGCCCGAGGCATGAGAGGCCAGACTCGGAGGATCCCAGGCTATGCCAGGGAGCCTGAGCCAGGGAGCGGTTTTAAACACTGAGTGACAAATTCAGGTTTTTGTCAGTTACACTGATGCTGATTAATTATGGCTTGTAATAGACCTTCGGAACAGAATTTCTACCACTTGACCCACTTTGATTCTTTTAACATCTTAGCTGAAGCTTGCAAATTCATTCATTCATTTTCCTTTTATGACAGAGGTAGCAAGAGGGGAAATGGGAGAGGGAGGACAGAAATAGGTATTTTGGACATCTTACT